ATATTTCCCAAAAATACTACTTAGACCTCGAAATATTAATAGAGCATTTAAAAAAAAAAAAAGAAAATCTGTCTAAAACGCTTAAAACAAAGGTAAATGGCGATGGTATTCACGTTACTATTTACGCAAAATATGAAATGAGCATTTTTTTTCCATATTAAATTATTTTGATTTCTAAATTAAGTGTCCTAAAAGTGGTTTTGATTTCATCAAGAAAGCATCTATGCACAAGGACCAATCAAGACAAATTCAGTCTCAAGGCCCACAAAATTTTCCGGGCCCCTAACAAAATATTTTGAAACTAAATTTCTGTAGAGTAGTCCTAACAATAAAAAGAATCTATAAAACTGCATGATTCAAGAGAAACATTCTAAAAAATTTTGAAAGCAGACAATTGAAGATTTTTTTCTTCTAAGATAACGTTTACGAATCTAAATATTAAAGCAAAATATAAAATGTTGTGTGAAAATAAAAATAGTTTGGTGACCTTAATCAAGTGAAATCGGTGATTTTTGCTAAAAGTTACTGATTAGCTGAATTATTTTAGATTGTAGCCCTCCATCTACAGCTTTACATATTTGTTAAGCTTCTAGTTCTTGTTGACACTAATAGTTTATAAGAGACTTCAGTCAAAAAAGTTTTTAAAACCATATTATCTCAAAGAAAAAAAAGAATTTCAGCTACATATAATACTCTAATCAATTACCAAGTTATATAACTCAATAGGTTTAATAGAAGTCTAGTAATCTGGCGTGCCAAGCTAAAAAATGGTAACTTTGAAAAAGAGGAAATTTTAAGACTTCTTTGCATCACAGTATTCATAAGAAATCTGTTACATACTAGCATATTTCCCAAAAATACCTATACAGGGTGTCCCAAAAGGTCGTTTACAAACTTAACATGCTGGTCTGTCATATCATGATGAACAAGATTTACATAGGAACTTGTGTCCGAAAATTAAAACTGAGACCGCTAGAGGGCGATAAGTGCAGGCTTGGATGAGGAGAAAAAAAAATGATATCGATAGCGGTGTTAATATGATTTTTATTATAAAACACCATTACATCACAGCAAATGCTCAAAATTCCTTCCATTCGCCACAATGCACGTTTCACATCGTCGGCGCATGGATTCACGAACCCATTCAAATTGGCCAGGAGTGTCACGGACACGTGCTGCCGCTTCCGCGATCCTGGCGATAAGATCCATGTCCAATGTTACAGGTGCCTCGTACACTATGGACTTCATGTGTTCCCACAGGTAGAAATCCAGGGGAGTCAGGTCGGGGGATCGCGGTGGCCATGGGACTGGTCCACCTCTACCGATCCAGCGATTAGGATAAATCCTATTGAGGTATTCTCGAACAGCGTAGCTAAAGTGGGCAGGCAATCCATCATGCTGAAGCCAGATGTTTCGGCGTGTAGCGGCTGGAACGTCACCCATCAGATCCGGCAAAACTCTTTCTAAAAAAATGCGATAGGTATTTCCGTCGAGGCGTTCAGGTAAGGGCCAATCAACATGTCACCGATAATACCAGCCCAAACGTTTACGCTGAAATGTTGTTGATGTGCATGGGCATACATCTTTGGTTTTCATGCGCCCATACGTGCATGTTGTGCAGGTTCACGACACCATCCCGTGTAAAGCAGGATTCTCCAGAAAACAAAACCCATGATGGAAAATCTGGCTGTGCGACCCGCTGTTGCAAATTCCAGCGTGAGAATGCAATGCGTTTGGGATAATCGTCAGCGCACAATGCCTGTACTTTTTGGAAGTGGTAAGGGTGTTGCATGTCATCGTGCAGTATGCGCATTATGGTGGAACGAGCTACACCCAAGACACGTTCGCCTTCTCTGAGACTTCTTTGCGGGTTGATGGCATACTCCTGTAGCACGGTTTCCTCTACGACAGGTGTGCGTGTAGCACGTTCTCCGCCGAGGTGGCTACGTGCTACGAAAGCACCTGATTCACATAATCTGCGGTACAATCGTCCAAACAAAACATGACTTGGCTGACGTCTGTTTGGGAAGTGATCAAGGTACGTCCGTGCCGCGGCTCGTCAATTTCCATCAGCGGCGCCGTATACGTAATGCATGTCGGCCATTTCTGCGTTACTAAACTCATTCATCCTTCTCCTTCAACGTCCACGCCTGAAATGATTGTTTTTCCCACTCTCCCGTTTTCCTGCAATTATCGCCCTCTAGCGGTCGCAGTTTTAATTTTTGGACACAAGTTCCTATGTAAATTTTGTTCATCATGACATGACAGACCAGCATGTTAAGTTTGTAAACGATCTTTTGGGACACCCTGTATATCTAGAAACACTTAAATATAAATAATTTTTTGTTATCCAAAACACGCAAGATTAAGATACACGAAACTTGAAAATTATATTTTGAGCGTTGTGAAAAAGGTTATAATGCAGTAATTTTTTTAGAAACAATACAAGATGTCATATCCCTCCTATACTATAGTTTTTCACATATTCTCACAACGTTTGCTCAACTCAGTTCATAGATCTTTTTATCATATCTCAACGATTTAGTCTAAAATATAAAGAATCGAAGATATATTAGGTAGCATTCAAAGTTTATAAAATATGTTTTTAGTAAGTACAATGGCAGTCCCTTTTAGGACAATTTCACCGCATTCATAATTGAACAGTACGGAACATATATGTGAAACAATATTTTATATTTTTCTAAAATTTTCGAAGATGTCTAGCAACATCCAGTTGTATAGATTTCTAAAGAAAATTCAGTCCAAAACAGTCAAGATGTAAGGAATCGACGATTATATCACCATTTTTTAAAAATATATATTCTGAGTAAACTGGAAAATGTATTTGTACTCGATCTTTTCAAGTTATAATACGATTTTTTTCACCTTATTCTTAGAATAGTCAACGAAAATAGTCATTGAATAGTCAACGGAGTTGGACTATTCAATGTTATCTGGCAGACTTCTACTTTTTTTTTCTTCTTAAATTGGAAAAACTTTCGAAGGGAATTCTTGCTCAAATAATCTGATATGTAGTGTCTTTACCGAATATTAAGAGATTATAAATCTTTTCAGCTTAATGTAATTTTTAAGAAATTCTTCAAAGTTGAATCAAAACTTTTCCAGAGAAGAAATTAATTGAAATCAGTGAACAGTAAAATTAACAGTGCTTTATCTGTTGTTAAAAATGTTTCAAATTTCATTTGATTTGACAAATTGTGGCTAAAATGCAAGTAAAATATAAAGTCAAAATCTCGTAATCGCATTCTAGACCATAAATTACAGCCGTTATGTACTATAATGAATAATGCAAGATGACTTTTCAACGTTGAATCTCAAAATATCATTCGTTTAATTATAACGGATTAATATGTCATGAAGAGAATCTCTAGTGAGATGCAAGATTCGGCTTTAAAATGTGTTATTTTATCCAACAGTATTTTTGTGTACTGTGTTACTAACTTTAAAAATTAGGTTCAATCAGTTGAACTGTCAGTTTCTATTTGATTAAAAAATTAGTTCTATCAATAAGTTTAATCTTTACAATTTTATTCCTTCTTTAAAAAAAAAAAATAGGTATATGCTTTAGGCTAATTTCTTGTCTTTAAATAACATAATTATTAACATAAAACTTTTCAAATAGATTGTAAAAAGCCCGCACATCCTACCCCTCATTAGGAAATATAATATTCATTGCAGTAAGGCTAGCAAATTCAGTACAGGTAATTCGTGACACAATTCTTAATTAACCTAAAACGGTACAGGCCAATTGTAAAAAGTCAAAATATCAGGCAGAAAATACTTGAGCCTTATGCAATTAGCTATATTCGGAACTTAGTAAAATGCTAAGTTATAGTAATAGTTGCTAAGAGCTGGATTTTTTATTTTTAATATACAAGATGAACATACTTACAATCTGCTAACTGTATACTGGATGAATATAATAGCCTCAATTTGTTATTATTTTAAAATTTATGAATGATATTCCATAACTATATCCTTTACTAGAACATTTCTGCATGTTATGTCAGTATCACAGGCTCCAACAGTAAAAACATAAAACATTAAAGCTGTAGCTTATAGACACACACACAAAAAAAAAAGAAAGATAATCACAAAATAATCTACAGAAAAGACACAATTTTTTTTTAGTAAAAGATATTTAATGAATTTTAGTTCAGAAGTTTTCGAAAAACCAAAGTAACACATCGATGTTTTAGCAAACAGTATTGTGATCAAGGTAAAAAATATTTGCACGAAACATTACCTCTTGAAAATCCTTAAAATAAGGATATAGTCAAAACACTTGAAAAATCAAATACCCAATATCGATAATCCCACACATCAGAGAAATAGTTTTTAAGTTGTGTATGCCAAAACTCATTCACTAAAATATTTAACTGTATGAGTATATTGTAAATATAAGCGAGTTGTTTTTATACTTAACATGCTTAAATTAAACAAGGAAAATTTTTACTCATTTAACTTTTTCCTTCAGGATCATTTTTTGCCATACCTTTTTCTTTTGATATTTACTTGACAATAAGCTATAAAATAGTCACAAGGCTTTTTTGCCTGTAAAAGTGTACAGTAAAGCATGTTCAAATCCTTTTAGCATTAGTTTTATCTCCAAACATTTTGGCAGCTTTTTCGAACAATAATCATTTTCAGACTTAAAAAGTATGCAAAACAGGTGCATAATAAGAATAATTTCACACAAACCCAGCTAGATGTTACACGGTCAATTTTAACACCAAAGTAGACCATCACTGAAAGGAAAAGTTTAAATGCATTACAAAAAGAAAATAAACCAATCCTTGAATTAAATGGGTAAATATTTGATAATCTTTTCATTTTATATCTTTCAAATATACTTAATAAAAATTACTAAATATGTTTAATTTAAAAAAAAAAAAAAAATTGATTTGTAAGAATTTTTAAACTGAAAAATAAACAGAACTGTGTACAATGTATGTATTGAAAGAAAAACAGACTAAAAATAGAGGAATATTTTTAAAACATAGTAAGTTACATAAAATTTCACAAATATATCTACAAATGGTTTTACATAAGTCATAAAACTGTGCAGTTTTAACAGTATTCCCACTAATCTCTCTTTAAAGCTCTGATGTGGGTGAAATAAAGTTAATAAATTTTAGCTTAAGTAAATTCATAAATAAAAAGGTTAAAAAAAAAGAAGCAAGGGCAGTTTTTTATGTTTGCCATAGATATATCTCACACTTATTTGAAAATCAATAGCCAAATTGAATGAAGGAAAAAAATATGTATAATAATAATAAAAAGTATTTTAAATGCTTAAAAAAAATTTAATAAAAATTCACAGTCATGTTTTTGTTTTCAAATACAACAGCAATAAACATGAAAAATAAGAATGCATTGTAGAGTATACACATTTAAAAACATTCTATAGAAGTAATAGATATACATATACAAATTAATAACATTTTAAATAAATAGAAATCTAGTTTAAATATGACTCAATAGATAAAAACACCGGGTTCATTTTTATTTTACCTTATCAAGTAAATGTTTTACCTGCCCTTGCACAAAAGCATTATTTATAATAGTTCATAGAAACTTAGCATAATTTACCAACAAAATAAATCTAAAGTGCTGCACTAACATTTATTTTACAACAATGTAACAAACAAATAACTAACGTTTCAAATTTTCTAGATGCGCTTACTCACTGGACCTTTCGATCCAGCAAAGTTATTTTTTTCTTCTTTTTTAGTGGCAGTGTGATTGCTATGTTACCCCATATAAATAATAAAAATAAAGTGTACCATTCGAGAGGGACACAGTCAACAGAATATTTAAAGGGGCCACACACAACGTCTTATTTTCTTAAAATAGTTCAAAACCAAAAAGTGTTGAGAATGGAAAAAAGTATTACTTTCACTTCCATATGTTATTTTATGTAAAAAGAGCAGCCTGGCAGTAACTGCTAATAGAAAAGTATAGCTAGCAATGGCCGGTGTGTGAGAAATGACTCTCTTTGTCACTGCAAATAGACTTATGTAACAACAGCATTTGACAAAGTTTCACTTAAAATTTTTTCTTTGAAATAAAAGTCAGGTGCAGCTCACCTAAGGATCATAACATTTTCAACTACTACAGACATTTCTTTCAAACGTAACTATCCAGAAGAAAATAATGGCAAGTTCATTGATTTTTGTGTTTTATAACACCTTTTTACACAAGTGTCGTTCCCAAGGCTTTCTTCCGAAACACAGACACATCTTACATTACCTAGTCTCGAAAAATAGCTTTAATGAAAAATTTAGAGTACTAGTATTTGTCTAATAAGTAAAATTATTTAATAGGACTAAAAATAACAAGTCACAAGATATTTCCATATATTCATTTAACAAGAAGTAGAGGGAGAAAAAAATAACACCAACGTTCAGTTCATTCAGTAAAAATAAGAAGTAGCTCACAGATTTAAAATTTTGAACAGGAAACTCTTTCCACAAAAAATTATATTCAAACATAGTCCAATAGGCGAGCTCTTAAGAAATCAAAAGACCTGATCGTAAAAGTACTTAAAACAATACAAATATTTACACAAAGAAATACAAGGGCATCTCATAACTAAAAGCATTTCATTTGTGATTCTATATCTTTCAGAACAATAAAGAAAATTCTAACTGCCCATAAAAATGTACAAAGTTGTGTCCTAATTTTTTAAGTCAATTCAAAAAAGACTTTTGATATATACAGAGAAAGACTGCTAGTAAGTTTTCAACAGGCTAAAACTACAGTGAATGTAATTTCACTTTCAGTATCTGTACCGATCCCTCCCAATTTATTATTATTATTTTATTTTTTTTACACTGTAGGAGAAAATACATATTTCAAATTTGTTTTCCCATTTTGATTTGGGTCATATCACTGAACACATTTCCTGGTCACTAAACGGTTCAGGTTATGTAACAAGCAACAACTTTTGGAAAAAACAGCTCTCTGTTTTAGTCATGTTTGAAGCACGTAAACATTGCCAAGTTCAACAGATATCAGTGGCATCACAGTAAAATTTTATAACCCTCAGACCAATGAGGAATTTGTGCAGTTTTTTTTTAACAATTAAAATGGAAAAATTGGTACAGCACACAGAATAAATTACTTGATTTCTGTGCTGCACAAAGCTTATGTTGAATTATAGGTGGCACACATTATTAAGGGTGCCATTGAAAATGCCAGCAGTTTCTGATGACTAGAGGCTTAGTTTATACTTCACGATAAACCATCAAAAGGGTAGAACTTACATAACATTATCACTTATTATTAACTCATAATCTTACAAATTGCCATTCCTGAGATTTAAAAATTAAACATATTGATTTAGATACTAGTAGTGTTAGGTACAATGAGGTTAAAACTTTACGAATTATTTAAAGAATTTATAAGCAAAATAACAATATAATAAGCTTAAGTGGCTGAATGATAATAGCAATTTAGAGTTTAATTATAATTTAATCTACGAAGATAAGTTACCCTTGAGAGAATAAAAATAGAGCTATCTTACAATCTGCAGAAGCAGAATTTTACACACAATAATACCCACTTCTCTTAAGTGTTAATGTCATATATGCCCTTACCCAAAACAGGCAAGTTGCGTTTCCAAAATCTCAAGTTTCAACAGCAACACGCACAGCAGTCAACTTATTTATACATCTGTTGAAAGACATTAACAAGTACTAACTAGAAATTTATTTAATATGTAACAAGACTGATGATCCTTAAAATGTGAAAAATAAAACCAATACATAATTTTGTCCACAACTTAAAATAATTAATTATCCCTACATAATAAGCCTCCAAGCAAATCACACAAACTACAATTACTCATCAAATACATTAGCAGTTATATAAGTCTAAAATCTTTATAAAAGTTAAGATATGGTATAAAAAATTCAATCAGCAAATCAAATACAGCAGCAAGCTGCTTGAAGGCTAGGAGACTTTAGAAACGCAAGTTTAAAAAACGAGCAAGCCCCGATCCCAACATTCTAATCGATAAAAATATTAATAAGATTCATTATAATGTAACATTAAGCTGCATTTAAAGTATATGTGTACAACATGCAGTTTAATAAATAAATCTTTGCATCAACAATAAAAAATGCGCTTTTTTTTTCCTTTTTCACAGAGAGAAGCCTTTTACAAATTTATATATATATATATCTAACAAAACAAAACATGAAACTACACTGCAGAGGTAATCACAAAATTCATGAGTGTATTATTTTAAATTTTTCAAAGCCATTAAACTAGTATGCCTGGATGAAGAAAAAAAACAAAACAACTTTTTTTTAAAAATATTTCTAAGGGCCATAGCATGTTTTATAATACAACAATAAAACAGTCAACTATAATACTGTCTGTTCATTATAACAATATGGATTTTGCAATTTATAGCACGGTAAAATTTTCACAAAGGTTTAAAGATATAAAATATTTGTAGCAACAGCATACTTATGTACACGTAGAAAAATAATCAACTACAAACTCAATCCTGTATCAAATAAAATAATTAAATCTTTAAACATCTGAACAAAGCAAAGATATATATATATATATGTATGTATATACTCTGAAAAATGATCACCAGTCCAGTGTAGAAGTAAAATCACATAAATTCCATCGCAAACATTTTTTAAAACTAAGTTTTTTGAAAATAGTAATTTGACAAATCACCTAGGTGCACTTTTTTGCAAGTGTTCATATTTTACGAAGAACAATCAGAATCCAATACTTAACAAAACAAACAACACAGCTACAGCATCCATATTTTCACCGGGTTTCTGGTCCATAGAGACAAGGGCCCAGCGTTAGCATGGGCCAAAGCTTTTATTTATTTATTAATTTTTTTTAAATATTTATCTCTTAGCGACGCAACAAAGAAAACAGTCATTCACCGGGAACAAATAACAGCACCTAAACAATCACCAGCGGGACAGTCGGAATCTGCAAAGAACGTGTCGCATACTACTAATGTCTCTGTACAATTGATTTTGCTCAGGATGGCACTAGAGAGAACTTTTTCATTTACCCCCTGTAGCAGACTTTTCGGACAATTCTTTCATCTTGTCTACATAGTCAGCAAATATATCGCGAAAACGGGACCATGATTTTTCTGGAATGGTGATGGCTGTTCTCAAATTACTTTTAACCTGCGAAAAAAAAAACTATATTATAAACGTACAAAAGAACCACAAAGCTCATCAACACAGTATTTATAACAACAAAAAATAATAATCACATTTTTTATGTGGATAGGCCATGCCTGGAATTTCTATCTAGATGCCTATTTTTGTGAACACTTTTATCAACAAATTGCATAGATTTGTGACAAAATAAATCTAAAATATAATTACATCAAATAACAGCTTTCATTCTACTTAAAACGCTGCTGTAAACCTACAACATGTAGTTTCAGACACATGAATTTTATATAAATATTTGATTATCCATGGTCTGAGCAGAGCAAGACAGCCTATCCTTACACACAAGGAGGTAGGTGTAACATTTTCATGGGGAGTGTTCAGAAATTCAAAATTGAAATGAGGTTAAATTTAAAACTGGGGTCTAATACTTATGCTTTATAGATTTTTAAATGGATATCAGTAATGTTTAAATATTCAAATCTTAGCAATACATTAATAAATTTAAAAACTAAATTTTATTTTCAAGATGTATTAAAAAAATCTATTAAATTTGGGACAAGAAATTAAGATATTTATGAGATTTTCTAATAACATATTTTGTTATAGTTCGGTAAAAATGAGATCTTTTTTGCCAAAAAAATTAATACCAAGATCCCCCCCCCACAAAAAGTTTTTATGTTATTATAAATAATACCCGGAAACTCCCCAACTCTCTTTTGCACACTTCTCCCCTTTTTGAGGAAAATGGGATGATTTGTGGGGGAGAAGTGAACATATTTTCCCACTGCATTTAATGAGACCAATTCCAAGACTATCAGTCTAATAGTTCAGATGTTATAGCATTTGATATTGCTATCTAAAACAGTAAGACATTGTTTCTTATGCATTCGCGTATCACACACGAATCAATGGAACAAAAAGTTCAAAGAATTTCATTGTATAAATAATACTCTTTACATAGACTGATGTATATGTTACTGTTAAAAAGTGAAATCCGTTATTTCATAGAATAACTAGGTATTTCAAGAAATAACTGGATAAGTCAGTTAAAGTATATAAAATTATTGAATTCTACTATTTAATTAGGTATTCTATAGAACAACAATTACTGGATCATTAAAGTATGAAATACGGAACTCAAAATTTATTTGATCCTGTTCTAGTTGCTTTGAAATGATGTGTATGTGTGTACGCTTCATTCCACTGCTTTTAGACATAGTCATTAATATGAGCAATAATAAATTACATCATCTGAAATAAGGATAAAATGTATTTTTTCAAGAAATTTTAGTTATTTATAATAAATTAATTTATAAAATAACTGGAATTTTTTATTTTTCACTTTATATCCATCATTAGTTACTTCATAGAATAACTAGGCTAAGAATGAAATTTTTCATTATATACTTTAACAGACTTGTCTAGTTATTTCATAAAACACCAGTAATTCTATAAAATAACTGAATTATACACTTTAACAGTAATATATACATTTTATATTTCTATCCAGGAACTATTAGAACATATAATGTAAATTTTCTAATGCAATTGTATGAGATTAATCCTCAGATGATCGGACTAATAGTTTAGAAGTTGTAAGCTTTTTGTGCACAGAAAATACCATCTTGTACCTGCTCACATTTACACATCTAACATTACTATACAGATAAGTGAGGTACTGTTTCCTATGTATTCTTCTCATGTAATCAAATGAGACAAAAAAACGAATCCAAATTATTTTTATTTCTTTTTAAATATAAAATGTGTTATTTTTAAATTACACTTATTATGAAGGAAGCCTTTATAACTTCCAAACTATTTATTCTATCAACTCAAATTTTATTGTATTCAATTCTATTCTGTAAAAACAATTGCATCAGGAAATGTGCTTCATGTGCTCAAATTGCTCCTAGATAGCATAGTAAAAAGTGTACTAAATCAATAAAAAATAGTACTTTTTATGAATGAAACTGCTTGCAACTTTTAAACTGTTCACTCTATTGACTTGTGCAGTCTCATTCAATTCAGGGTAAACAAAAAACATGGGAGGAAACACTGTTTCACTTGTTTGGATAGCAATATTATTTATAATTTTTTCCTAAACCTTTTTGTTCTGCGTAGCCAGAGTTTAGTCTCATTAGCTTCCTTTCTTCTGTATCTTTTATTTATTTTTGTATGAGAAAAAATTCTTAAAAGAACATGCTTATTTAACAAATGAAAAATTGTTTTAAGTTTGAATACTATTAAAATAGTCACGCTGTTAATATTGTTAGTGTTTGATTACTTGAGCTTCTCTCAATTGCAAGCTTAATCAAATACTCGAAAACATAATGGAAAAAAATTATTCAATTTTAAATAAAAAATTTAATATAAGCGCAACATGGAGTTATGATGGAAAGCAAATCAGTCAATGGCACAACAAAGGGAAGATTTTTAATAAAAATTGATTCAATGAATTGTAAATATAACTAATAGTATCACAGGCACACTTTATTTATTTACAATTTAAGTTAAAAATGCATAAATGAAAAATAGGGCTAAAGGTTATCTTACTTAAGATTATTGAAAATTAAAAAATCATCAACGAATGTCTCATGCAACACAGGACAGGGAAAATTCAGTATGACATCCAGAAGATAAAAGGAATGAACGTTGGTGTCGATTTTCTATTCAATTCAATAACAAAAAACTCATTTAAAAGTACCTTTAGTTTTCATCATGACTTTAATTAAAAAAGTTTTTCTTAGTAAATTGAACTAAAGATGGAAGCGAGTGTATATTCTAATCATCCCTTGCCTTACTAAAAAAATTCACTACCAAAAATTTTACTATTGCGATTCACTATTAAAATTTTGCTATTAATTATTTTTTTCACGAAATAAGTATAAGTCTTATTTTAGGTATCATTTCTCCTGCCCCAAAATTCAATTTACCCTTATTTTGTAGCAATTCAGAACAATTGGTCGAAAACAAATTTGTTTTCGATCAACAAAGCAATAATTAAACAAAGTTGCAACTGAAAATATGCTCTTATTTAAATATTTTAATGTAATATATTATATAAAACTTCAATATTTTAGTTATTCAAAAATTAATAAATAAATATAAATGAAGTTATTAAATACATAAATAAGAAATAAATTATTTGTTTCATTTTCTTAAACAGTTATATGTTTAGAGTTACTACTGTGATGCATTTATAACCAGATTCAAATGAATAAGTTATCTTCTCCTATATCCTATAGATATGCCACATTGCCCCATAAAAATAATCCCAGATAGCTACCAAGACAAATATAGATAAAGCAGAGCAATTTTTAGTTGTGAAAATTTTCCGATTGTAAAAAGGAATCGGCTAACTTTAATTAAACGACAGGCAAAGATACTACATAGTATTGCTTCCTTGTGAGGGAAGAACTAATATTTTATATTTTTGAACAAGGAAAAGGCTCATGTTGATGTTATGAAATGATTTTTTAAGTATTTTTATCTAATAAAAAAAAAAAACAATAAAAGAAACAGAAAAAATTTAAACTATTTAAAAAAAAATTAATAGTTCGAGAAATTGCCATTTACAAAAAGTTAGTTTGAACCTCCAAACACCACCTCTACCTACTTCCCTGCATATACATAAGCAGTTCTAGGAAGGTCAAAACTTTAATGCACATTTTCAAAATGTACAAGAATTTGTGCAAAAAGTTAAGAATGAAAGTGAAAAATACATATTCTTAACACCCATTAGCACACCACGATCTAGCCTCACTCATTTCAAAGAATTTTTTTCTAAAGCTTCTCTAAATTGTTTGGAGGCTTTATCAATCAAATTTTCAGTTGCTTCCTTGACTCAGGGTATCTGTTAAATCTAGCCTTTTTAAATCCATGACTTCTACCAAACACTTTCCATGACTTTAATACTCTATTACTCAATACAGTCAAAAGAAGATAGTAATGAGTGCAACTTTCTTCCTAATGTGAGATCTTTTCAAATGACAGAAATGCAGATCGTGAAGAGGGATTTTTCAATCTCACGAATGAGGATCACGATGTTTGATTTTTATATCACACAAATATGGATAGCTAGCTTTGTTTAATTTTAAAATAACTCAAATACAAATAGTGATGCGGGATTTTCAAATCGCAGGCAGGATTAAGGGCTCCGATACCACAAATCCATGACGAATTGGGAGTTTTCATGATTTTTTAGTATTTATCACTGAAAATCACAACTTTCCATGATGTTATTTATAGGTGAGCGGATACCCTGTTGATTTCATTCAGGGATGTGAACAATCCTGAACAAGGTTGCTATTTGGCGATGGTATGACGAAAACATTTATTTCACAATCTTTAGTTGCATTTCTTTAACATTAAATATTTCATAAATTTGATGATATTTCTCTCCTTGGATTTGAGTGAATTGTTTGTCCTTTTTGAGACATTTTGATGGAAAGACAGCAGTTTTTAAATTTAAAATATATTTAATTAGCTAGAGTAACGAAAAGTATAATAGCAAATGATAGAGCGAAGTAACTGAAAAAGAATTCACTGTTACTGCCTGACGCGCATTAAGGATTGTCTCATTTTCCAGTGCGGAGATTTTTCTCCTCTTACACAGACGCTGAAATGAACTCTTCGCCGGAGAAGTTTAAGCCAAGTGCCAACTCCTGGTGAATGAACTATATATCAGTAATGAATAAATGTTTAAAAAGAAGGACTTTATATCAGAGATTAAAATTATAAAATTTGTTGAGAAATTCATCAATTCTCAATTGAGTGCTGTAAAATTTAATAATGAATATTCTGCTTGAATTTCACACGACAAAATAAATACCGAAGATTTTTTTGAAAGTGTTCTATGACTTTTGTGAGATAAGGTTTTTGCTTTTAAAATATGCCATACAGTTTTGCTAAGAAAAGAGTATATTTTTTATTATTGAAAATCCACCAGGGTGGCCACTCAAATCAGATTTAAAATTTCCAGGTATTTGTTTCTTTTTTCTTATAAAGTGTAGGATGTGTACAAGAAAAGTGTCTATATTATAAAATATTTTATTCAAAATGTTATTTTTTTTTAACATATCTTGAAAAAAATAATTTATTTTAACAATTTTGCAAACTTTTTTTTATTTATTTTTTAATGATTTGGTACAACATTAATTCTTAAGAAATTAAGACACGTATAGAAAATATGCTTAGCTTGTAGAATGTATTGTTCTTATTGAATAAATTTTTTATGTGCTACTTTAAGTAGTTTTTGCTCAGTGTACCTAGCAAATGGCAAAAACACAATGACTAATAAGACCTTGGATAAGTATTGTTTAATATATTTTCATTAATCAAAAAGGTTAACTGTTTCAGGTGATTATATATTAATAAATTCTTATAATTACAGTGGCTCCCAAAAGTGTTGGTCCACTTATAACTTTTATTGAAATAGGAAATAAAAATTCATTAATTAAAATGAATATTTCAAATTGGGTATTTGATGATAAGATGTATTAATCTTAATCTTAGCAAAAGTGCATGGAATATTTTAAAAACAAAGCAAAAGTTTATTTTTAAGATATCAATAATCAAATAGCAACAAAAATTTTACCCCACGAAAGTCATCGTACACTTAAATGTTTTCCGATTTTAGAATTAAAATTATCGTCCATTGCTTTAATTATTTTTCATTTAATTTTTTATACATTTATTTGCAATTTAGTAACAAGCTTGTGATAGCAAAATTATATTTTAATTTTTGTTTCACCATAATATTTTCTTTTATCATTTAAAAACAGCTCATGGTCATAAAACAACAGACCAAATTTGAAAGGTGATTACTTGTCATCATAAGAGGTAAATCAGTAATGAATATTGTTAAATTAGTTTAATGTGTCCTATTGCACTGTGGAATATGTGATAAAATGCTTAAAAGAAGGACTTTATGTCAGAGATTAAAATTATAAAATTTGTGGAAAAATCCATTAATTCACAAATGAGTGTTGTAAAAGTTTCTGTAAAATTTAATAAAAATATTCTGCTTGAATTTCACCAGACAAAAAAAAAAAAAAAAATAGTTANTGTCTACGATAGGTACTCTGTCCGCCATTCGTCTGGAGGGGTGGCGGGGACTATGGTAACGAGGTATGATTATTTCAAGTAGGGGTGAGGGGTCCCCCTTTAAGACTGGTTTCGGTGGGAGAAAAGGAGACTTCTTTCTTCGATCTATTGTATTAGCCCTAGAGTTAAGAGAAATGAGCATTCGCGCCTGAAACATCGTTTAGAGCGTGTGATTCCTTTTTTTTTATCCTTTTCTCTTTTTCAAAAGCTTCTGTTTTAGAAAAAAAATTTAAAAAATTTATATGTATGTATGGAATATGTATGGAAATTGTATAAAATTGTTTAAAGCAGCTCAATGTTTTATTAATAAATAACTCATCTATAAATTTATCATACATAGTAAATTGGTTATTAAGAAAAAAATAAATTTGCTAATAAAAACTGTTTTTAATAAATAGTGAAAAAAAACTGTACAGGTTACAATAAAATATGAATAAGAAAACGTAATTTAAGCAAAAAAAACTTCAGATAATTTCAGATGGTTTGATGGGTGCTGATAAAAATCATCGTTGATAGTTTTAGATTTCATCCTAGTTGCGGTCACTTGCTTTCAGTTTCAAAAAAAAAAAAAAATAAATAAATAAATAAAATATTTAAAAATTAATAATCAAAACAAAGATATTTAATATTTCTCCGGCACAGATAACGTGAACTATTTTTATTTTCAGCAAAAGTTTTATCTCCTTTTAAAATCAGAGTTATTAAGTTTAAGCTCTTCACTTTTTCCAGAAAATTCAAGTAATAAAAGAAATTAACTGCTTTAAAAAATGTGCAAGTTTAGAAATTAAACCATCTAACAATCAATGAACATTCATAATAAATATCGTAAAATTAAAAAGTAATATTAAAAAAACCTGTACTACCCTTAATGTCAGAATTTGTTCACTTTTTTTCCTTTGTATTTAAAAAATAACAACTGATTGAATCGAGAGAATTATTTTAAGTAAGAAAGAAATATTCATGCGAATCTTAAAAAAGTTCTTGAATCAGATTAAATAAGTCTCCTACTGGTGGCTGAGTCAGCCAATCTGGTATACTCCCCATACAAGCTATCATCGAAGGCGAAAGAAAAGGAGACCTCTTCATCGAAGCCACCCTCCCTAAAATGCTCTCTTCTTGTTTCCATAGCACCAGACTGCCGCAGACTTTGTGGCGGACAGAGTACCTATCGTAGACAAACAGTAGTTACATTTATTTACAAACTTATAAAAGCTATTGTAGATGTGAAAGGATACTCTACTAAATATTACTAATTAGAAATATTAGAATATTTACTAATAGGCAGAGATTTTTTTGAAAGTGTACAATGACTTTTGTGTGATGATGCTTTTGGTACTTTTTGATGATTGATTTCTTAAAAATTAACTTTTGCTTTGTTTTTAAAGTATTCCACGCAGCTTTGCTAAGAATAGAATCTATTTTTTAATATAAAATAGCCATTCTGAAATATTCACTTTAATTAATGAATTTTTATTCCCTATTTCATCGGAAGTCATAAGTGTACCAACACTTTTATGAGTCACTGTATTTACATTTCAATGTAAAGCTGTACTGTATTCTGTATTTTATCTTAACAGTACTTTTTGCAAAATTCATTGATCATATTTTCTTTAAATCAATATCTCAAGTCAAATTTTTAAATCATGTTTTTTTGATTTAGCAATATTATTTTAAGAGATTCAGTATACAAAAATAAATGTCACAAATGTAAAATTCTCTAATTTTTTGTTGTATAACTCTATAGAAAAAAAAAAAAAAAAAAAGATAAAATTCTTTAAATTTTTCTTATTTGAAATTAAAATATTTAAAGAATTCCAATTTAAAGACATAGTTTTTTAGCTTAGTTTGGTTAATTGTTTTTGTTTTAATAACTAGTCTTGTACAGTGCAGAACAAAAACACAAAGTTTCGTTTTCCTTCTTTGTACTAAACACAAATCAATAAAAAAAAAATATATTTTATTTTTAAAATATACTTTATCATTAAATGTTTCCTACTCATTCCTTAGTCCTTGTCAGCTTTTTAGGGTAAAAGGAGGAATAGTTTTGGAAATATCATCTCTGGAAAGCAAGCAACATTTATAATATTTGAATTTATTATAGTTATACAACATAATTCCATGGCGCACAGACATGCCAACTTTCAGGAAAGCCTGCCCAGAGCAATAATGACAATATGTATAAATTATATTGTAAAACTATACCCACTACTTCAAGTTGTAATTAAAGCATTTTATTTTGGTAAATAATGCGTCAAAGCAATATTTTATTTGCACTAGAAACAGTATAAATTAAACAAATCTAATCAAAGGAAAGAAATAATACAACACAATAAAAAATTTAATAACACTTATAAACTTTTTTTTTTTACACCCAAAGAACCATGTGGGCGAAATTAAACAAAGAATTGCATTAATACACCTAATAATTTAAAAATAACTTGCGAATTTTGTTTTTGCTTTAGTTTTTACAAATTCGTACATTTATATGACAGAAACTGTAATCTTAGGCTATCATGACGTATTCTACTAATAAGCAATTTTTTTAAATCATGAAATTGGTGAATAAACTTTTTTAATGACATATGACTCATTATCACTGTGCTTATTTCCTGCAAAATTTTTTTAACAGCAATTGTTGCTAGCAATCACAACACAGCAAAAAGCTAAAATCTAAATTAAACAGTTGGCAATAAACATGAAACTTAAGATTTATATTCTTCAGTATTTTTATTTATTTTTTTTAAAATTTGCTTTTATTTTTCTCTTAAATGAACTGCAAGAGAAATCAGTAAAGATAAATAAATTTGAGACCCTTCACCCCTTCTAAAATACATAATCGCGTTGTAAGTTATTTGTCAGTTGTTACTTAATTCAAGAAGTCAACTACAGGCAAGTACACAATCATAATAACATAACTAGGGAGAAAATAAAGAGATTAGCTGAAGCTGTCTCCACATCTGCACCAAACAGAAGGTAAAAATAAGAATGAAATTAGGATACTGTTTAAAGAAAATAAAAGTAGGAAGTTATTAAATTATAATGAGTATCATATCAAATCTTACTTCTGATATACGCATGTAAATTCCTCTGCTATTTTGACCAATATCAAAATAAAAATTTTTATTTTCTACTCTCATATGTTGGCCTTCTGGTAATTCTCCTTTAAACTCTGAAATAAATAATTTTCAAGTACATGAAACATAATTCTGAATCGAATTCAATGTAAAATAAATAAATATTTCATCTTAAATAACATTAAGCAAAGTTAAAAAAAAAAACAAAAAAAAAAAAAACATAACAGTAGATATAAATTTTTAAAATATAAATTAAATAATATTAATGCTAATAGGCAATTAATGAAGAACAAAACAAAAACTATTATGTAATTTTTATTGAATACCTCATAACTTGCTAAATATAATAAAGACTTATTGTACCTCCATCATCAGTTCCAAATTCTTCTAACAGATCTGTTAAAGCATCTCTGAATTCTATCATACCTTGAGCTGGTATTGCAATTTGGGAACGAGGTCCACCTCTAGCTATAGTTTGTGAAACCTATAAAAGAAAATTTTACATCACATTTTCAAAGAGAACTAAGAAAACGCATTGTCATATTTACTAGTCAATAAACATATTAACCAATCGTGATAAATAAAAAATTGTTACAGAGACAATAAAGTATTATAAGCCTACAATTTCAGATAAGAAATCTAAAGCAACAACTTAAGATGTTTATCTCAAACAAACACAAATTTTCTCACTCAGAAAAAAGAGGAAACAAATTATAATTGCAAATGGCCAATCTTGGAAAAAGCACTAATTTTATGACATTTAGACAAAAAAAATAAAATGAAAATAATTAAAAATAAAGATTTCTGTTATTAATACAAATTGAATATGCACTTTTAACTAAACTAAATAATTTAAAAAAAAAAAAAAAAAACCCTTTGAATATGGCATTTTTACACATTCCTTCACTTTTTTAAAAATTCGAATAGGATAAAATTACTTATCTCACTGGGTAAAAATTTGTCAAAAAAAAAAAAAAAAAAAAAAAAAAAAAAAAAAAAAAAAAAAAAAAAAAAAATNAAAAAGAGATACATATCTTTAAAAATGATCAAGGGGTATTTCAATAAAACACAACAACTATGAATAAAGAGAGAATACTTTGATCAAACCATTTTCAGTTGATTTAGATATAGTATAGTTCAAAAGTGAATAGATTTGAATTTTTATTTTTCATTATATGTAACACTATTAAGACAATCAATTTATTTCTACAGCAATTGTTTGAAGGTTGCATAGTAAATTTGTGGTCTACGTGGTGAAAAAAAAAATCTGCTCAGTGTTTTTGGTCACAAAAAAAAAAAAGAAAAAAAGGATTGTTAACTAATGATAATTACGTTAATATTTGGAGAGCGTTACGTTAATATTTGGAGTTAATACAGAGCAGTAATTTTGCACATTTTCAACTGTTATGATGATTTTAATCAATTTGGAATTATTAATTAGTATATATTCTCTTAATGAATCATTCTTATATGAATACAAAATTAATTCAAACATTTTATCTGAAGGAAAAAAAAAGAATACCTATAAAACAAAAGTAAAAAATGATTAGTAAATTAACTTTGAAAAATTTCCAGACTAAAGAAATCAAAATATAGATGCTTTTTTTACTCAAATGAGAAAAAAATATATCTTTGAAAAGTTAATGCTTCCATTAAACAAACAGGTGCATACAAGTGCAAATAAAATTTTATTTAAAATAAAATGTGAAAAAAAGAACACTAATTTAAATTTTTCTTACTAATCTGTTTTTGCATTTTATTCCTATCTTAACAATGTGTAAATAAATTCTTTTAATACATAAGACGCAGTTTGAGTGCAAGAGCCAGTTAAGGCCATACCATACCCACAACTAAAAGTTAAAGGAAAGTGTAGTTTATCAAATATAAAATGGAATGGTAATAAAAAATTTTATATCTAAACCTATTTGCATATTAACATCATTAATATTTCCAAATTATTTTTGTTATACTTTGATCTTTTATTTAAAGAAAAGTTATACTGAACTCAATACTCCCTAATAAAAAGGTTTAAAAAAATATTTACATAATTCTGCATACCAAATTTGACTTAATAATGAAAAAATAAGAAATTTAATAATATAAAAATATAGTTTAAATCATAGTTACTTTACATGCAAAACCATTATATTGATTGCTTTTTAAGACCTTGCTGTTTGTTACTTTAATAAACATCTGATGCATGGTTTTAGATAGATTTAATAGTAAATTTTAGTTACATATTTTACTAAATAGTCATGTACAAAATGAATTAATATATACATGCATCAAAAGTAAACGGTAGAGTATATAAAAAAAAAAATAGAGACACAAAAGACCATTTTTGTAACCTTGATCAAATCATATCTGTACAGTCTTGAAAAATCTTCAAAATATGCATAACATTTTATAATGTTTATGAATGCAATGAATCTCAAGCAAAATTCTTCGTAAGCTCTACAGCCGATTCCTAGCCAAGGATGTCTGACTCTGTCTCAACCAGCTTGTCTCATTAGATGCTGTTGTTCACTATCGATTGACACAATGTTTTTCAAACACTTTTCTACATTGTACAGCCATCTTACATGCTGCTTGAATCTGCTTCTCCTTTTGAAATGTCATTTTCCTCTCCAGGCTTCATCTACATACCTGTATATATGGCCAAGCCATCTTAGTTGCGAGGCTTTTGATTACTCGTATTATGTTAGCTTCCAAAATTTTTGTTTCAATAAAAATAAAATTACCTGATATTTTCCAGAATTCCCTTAATTATTAATAAGTTCTCCGAAAGAACATCAGGGATTGACACCGTCTTTACAAAATAAAAAAAAAGGAGCAGAATTAACATCCAGTCACACTGAACTAATTCATAAAAAAAGTTTAAAAAAAATTAATTATTTTTGTTACAAAAATGTGTGAAGCAAAGTATGCTTTCGTTAAGAAAATGAAATTTCAATTTTCTTAAAAAAGTGAAATGTGTTATGAGTTCTTTGATTTAAGCATATCTTCAATGCTTTAATTTAAATCTAAAGCATAATTTGTATGGTTGAAATTTTTTTTTTTTTTTGAAAATCAAAATTATATGTGTTTAACAAAAATACATTTCCTGGAGAAATGCTACAGAAAGAAATAGGGGACTTTTTTAAGGGTTCACAAGGAATGAATATTTCATATTTATAAAATAAAAAACCTAATTACTCTGCTGTGCAATATGAGAAATGTAAATTTATTTCAAAAATGAAGAGACAAAGTAAATTATAGAATTAGAAGATGTAGTGCGCAAAAAAAAGGACTAATCTGATTAACTTTTGATCTAATGATCGAAAATTCACTTTCTGCTACTCAAGCTTAATAATTCAAAGGGGTGACCTCAAACATGCTAATTAATTAGAGATGACGAGATTTTAGATTTTAAGTAACTAGACACAAAAACGTACTTTCTCTGAATAAAGATACCTTTTTCGATGGATTCCGATTTCTGATCACCAAAATGTAGCGTGTGCTGCAATGTAGGAAATATGGTCCCCATAATTTGGTCAGGAGAGCGGTCTAAAGCTTGGACCCCTTACAAGATGCGCAGTAAAATTTTTAAAGAAAAATAAGCACCTTTTAAGCTCTTAAAAAATATTTTAAGCACTTTAAAAAAATATCATAACTAGGCAGGGTTGGCTAACCCAACATTTTAGCATAAGAATAATTATTATCTATTATAAAAATGAAGTATTTTTATATTAATATACATGCAAAATTAATTACAAGTGTTCCATAAATTGCGTTCTGAATTATTTTAACAAAAAATTCTTTATTTTGAAAATTAAATTATTAATTATAAATATTAATAATAAATTATTAATTAATTAAAATTAATTATTAATGTCAAGAATCCTAATTTTGGTGTATAAAATATTAAATAATTGTAAATGAAAATGTGTCATATTGCAATTTATCCAATCCCTTAATTTGTTTAATCATTGAAAATGAAAATACAAAAACAATTATCTTATAAAAAAACATTTAACAATCATCTCTTATTCTTTAAATGTAAAATCAGTTTTCATTTACTCCTCTTTTCCCCAAAGCAAGGAATTGCAAAAACATAGTTTTGAAGTCCTCTGTATTCCAAATTCATTTTTGTATGAATAAGCTCAAAATTTGAAACTGTCCTTTCGATTAATGCTCAGCTGTATAAACTAGAATGTTGACCTACTAAACAATTATAACATAAAAAATAACATGTAATTAGGAAATTTATTCTAATAACTGTACTAAATATTGATGGTATCTTAAACTTACTTAAACAAACATTTATGTTTTTTTGTAAATTATAATTAGTTAAGTTCATTTATGTTTTTTTTGTAAATTATAATTAGTTAAGTTATCAGGGAATAAATTATATTCTTGATTTATTGGAAATATTCATGTAGGAGTGCAGAAAATTGTCAGTCGCTAATATTTCCATCCTCAGAACAAAGTTTTTCTTCTTTTTTTCCTCATATATTTGGCTTTTAGAAAAATGTTAAAACTTCCTCAAAAATTTTAATGTTTTTTTCTTTTAGTGCTTGCAATTACTTTTTTAAGAATATTTTTGGAAAATTAGAATAAACTGTTTGATTTTACATAATTCTTGATTAAACGAGCTTGTTAAAAATTATTAGAAATCAAAATATATTAAAATAGTAATAATTTATTAAAGATCCCACTTATAAACTCAAGGAATGTTATTTAACCTTATGTTATTAAAATTTGCAAAGTGACAAATTTTTTTAACAAAAAAAATTTTTTTTGTAGTAATTTTTTAGACCGAAAATTTCTCTTTGGCTGCCCTCATTTCACTCAAAACCTCTTTTGCATCACTTGACATATTCTGCATATAAGTAATAATAACAAAAGAATGAAAAGAAAATCTTTTTTTTTAATAAGTTGAGTTCAGACAATTATTGGTGACAAATTTAGTTTTACTTAATTGTGGCATAAAATAATTAAAATCAATATTTAGATTGATAACAATTAACAACTCATAGTTATTACTTATAATATATTAAGAGTACCATGTTTTTAGAAAAACCAATTAATAATTTAATGATTTTGGCTATATCTTTAATAAATGATAAATAATATCAATTATAATTAGAGAAGTTTATAATGCAAGTATTGTGCACGATTTAATGACTAATAATGACTATGACTTTTTCCAATGTTAATAAAAAAAACAAAACATACCAGGGTTTTGACTGAAACCAGTTTTTGATGTCAAAATCCTAACCCTGTAATTAGGATAGCTGCATTTCTTATTTTTATTTTATTTTTTATTCTTCCTATTATTGAAAGTTCATAAATACATTAACAAAATGCAATATAATTTCCAAAGACTTCACATGATCATGGTGAAATAGTTTCTAGTTTCTGACAAAGAACTCTTTCCTTGATTTAGCCACCATAAAAATTATTTATACATAATTTTAAAGATAATCAATAAAATGTAGCTCATTCGATTTTTAAATTAATAATTACTTCATTTAATTATGTAAAAAAATTTAACCAAAATTATAGTTAATTTAAGTATTATTTAAAAAGACATTTTCAACAAAACATTGATTATACTGAATTTATTAAGATACATAAAGAATGGACAATTACAGCACCTCTTAATCTTTTGAAATTTCAACCCTAAGTTAGCGAAAATTCTCTCCTGAATTCGAAAATCTGATTTCTCTTTTCCTCCCATATATGTATTTATATAATTATTAAGCATTTAAATTGCCTAAAAAGGCCTACGTAGGTGATGCAATCAAAAAAGATCCCTGATTGTTTATGACGCCGCATGTCCTGAATGGAAATCTGCCGCCTTCGTCCGCTAAGGCTATTTCAATGCTGTTTTAGTTTTGATATCACTTATATTGTATGGATATCCTTTGTAAATTAGAAGTAAATTTTTGTTAATTAAATTTACGGCTTTGAGAGTGTGTGTAAAATGGAAGAAAGATTTTTAAAAATTGAAACTATTTATCTCTAAAATAGCTGAAGAAGTGATTATGTACCTAGTCACAGCAAATCCACACTTCTTTTCAGCTAAAAATGGTCTTCAAGTTCATAGAAAATATTTTATTACACTTATGGTGGATGATTTAATTATTCGGTATTGAATTTAAAAAACCAGTCTTTTCATTAATCAAGTTCATTGAAAAATATCTATCCATCATCGTTACAATATATGTGCTAAATATTTCGGTAATATAATTTAGTTTAGCCTTTTTTTTTATTACTAGAATTGTATATACTCATCTACGATATTTTCATTTTAAGTAAATATTTACGTAAATATTTTTAATACAGTTAATTTCCTCTTTTTTTAAATACATATTAAATATTTAAATACATATTAAATATTTAAATACACATTAATGCTCATATCTATTCTTAATATTATTCTTTAAATAGGAATTTTGCCATACTTAGAAAATTATTTTTACTTTTAAATTTTAATTTCTCTTCCTGCAATATAATATTTACCATATATTGTTATTGTTAATCTTTCTCTTTATTTGTGTAAACTATTTGCTAGTGCTTGCAAAGAAGAATTCTTAAATAGTAAAATTATTCTACATTTGTAATGAAAAAATTGAATTAATATTGGTGAAAAAATATCAGGTTAAGCTTTCGGTATCGCCGAAAACGAATCAACACTTTCAAGAATCTAGTCCATTGAAATATATCTGCCCATCATCATCACCACTGCCCATGTGCTTATACTTAAAATTTCACCGCATAAATGAATCACAACATTGGATTTTAAACTCTCGTGAATATGAATCGCGACACTGGGTTTTAAAAACGCGTAAATACAAACCGCGCTATTTGATTTTTAAATCTAGCAAATAAGAATCGCAAATGTACGATATTTATATCACGTGAATAAGAATGGCAATGAGCAAATTTTAAATAAGGTAAATATGAACATCGATGTTTGGTAATAAAATCGCGATTTTAAAAACACGTAAATACCAATATGGGATTTTTAAATCTCGTAAATAAGAATCGCAGTGTACGATATTTAAATCGCTTAAATAAGAATCACAATGCGAAACTTTTATATCAGGTAAATATGAAAATTGATATTTGATATTAAAATCGTGTGAATAAGAATCAAGATGTTAGCAGATTCTGGACTTGAGATTTCTAAAAGGATTGTTTGTATTGTTTTTGTTTAGCCATAATGAATAAAAATTTACAAGATTAATTAAATGAGCAAATATGTAAATTTCACCGAATTTTTTTATTTTATTTTAAAATTTCGTTTGCTTTTGCGGCAGCAAACATGAAGCAGCGACGTCTGTATTACGAAAATAAGAGCTATCTGGTGGGCGGGCAAAAATACGAAAAATCTCATTTTTTGCACGCATAAAATAGTTAAAATAAGTAAAAATGTGGATAGGTTGGCAGCTACGTAGATTGAATTTTCAGAAAAAGTTGAATATCCATTAAAAAAAAAAAACGAAACTTTTAGAGAATTGGAGTTTTTGATAAAAAGGCTGAAATTCGAAAGACAAAAACGAAAATCTGCTAAAGAGCAGAAAAATCTTAGTCCTGCAAAAACGTAATGGCACGCGCAGTAATTGTAAAGGAACGGCAGATGAACACGAGTCACGAGACTCCCCGTTTCTGATCAAAACGAAAGTAAGCGCCTTTTGCTTAAAAATAACTTAATAATTTGCACTCTTAGAGAAGTAACAAAATGTTTTCTGGCGGTTTTGTAGGATTCTAAATCCATTAAGATTTTTAAAAAAATTGACTGTAATACTCCATTAAGCAAACTAAGAAAACTTTAATAAATTCATATTATAAAAATTAGTGAATGGCCCCTAAAAATGTTTATTATTATCTGTTACTTGGTTCAGCATTTCTTTAATGAAATGATTAAAAAATGTTCAAATAATTTTGAAATGTAAATACAATGATTATTGAAGCTAAACAATTTGTCAGAAGTAAATTATTACATGGTCCCTATATTCATAATATTTAACAAATCTGAGATAATTTAATTTTGATTTCAAATGTTTGTAAATAAAACCATTAGAAATTTTTTGGGATCACAAAACTGACTTTTTTTACATAACTAAACATAAGATTTTTAGCTGAATTTAAAATATTAAAAGCCCCTCACTTCATACAACCTTTAATTAATTTAAATTAATTTTTTAAATTAAAATAACTGTGAAAATGTTGAATAGAACAATATCTTTACGCATAATTCATGACGAAAATTAACATGAAGAAAAATCTCATTTTGGAATGGGAAAATTAAGCACTTTTTAAAAACACCATATGAAAAAAGCACCTTTAAGGGCTTTTAAAGAACACAAATGGAAAATAAGCACCTTTCGAAAATGTTAATTTTACTTTTTGTGTATTTTGCCATATCTCAAGAACTTTTTAAGCTAATTCAAATTATTTATGTTGACCATGTATATTTGTGTTCAAATATAAAATTTTATAACCAAATATAAAATTTTTCATGGAGACCATATTTCCCAGATTGTGGCTATCGACTATATTTTTAGACCATAAAAAACTGAATCTGTTTTAACCATATCTACGTTTATTCAGAGAAAGTACGCTCGTGTGTCGAACATTGTAACTTAAAATATCACCTGTACTAATTAATTACCATATTTCAGGTCACCCCTCGAACCATTAAGAATTAGTCTTTTTTTGTTTGGTGCACTGTACACTTCTACATAAAATTGAATTAAAGCAGACTTTTAGCATCAAGACTCTGAAACATAATTTTATTCTTTATTGAAAATATATTATACATATTTGCAGTTTTTAAATGATCATTTAAACCTTTTTAGTAAAAAATTTACTTAAAAAAATTTAAAATCTTAAAAAATTGAAATTTTTGACAACTAAATACAAAATTTAAATGTTACTCCAACTGCGCATAATTAAAGAAGAAATTTACCTCAATTTTTTTTAGAACAATAATATTAACAGCACTATGTGCAGAAAATAATATAGATACATTAAAATATATTCTTGTTTATTATTTTTGCTGTTTTTATTTCGTTTCTGATTTCACCCTAAAATGCTGTAATTATATTAAACAAAATGTAAAAATATTAAAAATAAACTAAATAAATTCATTACATTTACATAAAAAGTTATTTAAATAGTTTGATAAGTTGAATTAAACACAAGCAATAAACTAGTTCTGTAGTTGTAATTTTTATTTCAAAATTCTAAATATTGGTTCAAACTCCGAGTTTGCTTTCACTACACTTCAACTTTATCAATCATTTGCAGAAAAGGGAATAAAAATATCTAACCATAGTTTTGATAAAAATTTTGAAGGTTCTTTCCATATATTTTTCATAATTATGCTTTTACAAGAAAGCAGGAATTGCGAATTTCCAATCAATATGATAATACTGAAAACATATGGAGCTGTCTAAATTTCATCCTCACATAATGATTAAACTTAAAAAAAGTAAAAAGGCTTATTGAAATATATTAATCCATTTTTAAACAACATAATTAACCCATCGTAGTTTTTGAATAATATGATTGATTCATAGTATTTGTTCACACAGATAATTTTATACAATTGATAAAATACTACAGCACAGAATTTCAACAATAACACTTGTGCAGCAATGCAGAATAAACAGCATATTTATGATTAGCATAAAAATCAGTTTAAAAAAATTTCAATTGAGAAACAAATTACTGGCTTACATTTCATTTAATTCATTCAAATTAACTTGATTCATTCCATCCTATTAACTTCAAAGATATAGCAGGAATTTTTTTTTTTTTTTCACTCATTGAAAAACTAAATTATTATTTTTTTTTTGGAGGGACAAAACATGAATAATAATAAAAAAACAAAAACATTATTATGGTTGAAAGAGAAAATGGCAAAGAGATATGTACAATGCCAATTTGATACATTTTGTGAAATTTTTTTTTTTTTTTTTTAAATATTATAGCATTTCTTGCTCTCTGCCTATTACAGCATTATCAAATTTTGAAATCAAACATTTCAGTTTTGTTCTTCAAATCTAAGCACCAATCCTCAAATATGCATTTCTAACTGTTCAATCAATTTCTTATATTAGTTTTCATTCATTTTAAAGTTGAAGACTCTCTTTCCCATACAGTTGTTGACAAGGGTATTGCTGTAGCAGAGTTTGATGTAAAAGGGAAAATGTATCAAATATTTTCATTACTAGCATGCATAATTTACTTTTTGCTAAACTTTTAATTAAAATACAAATTGCGAAAATACGCTTTTAGAGTTAAAAATATCTCTGAATTAACTTGATTTATATTTTAACACTAGTGTTGTTGACTAGTGTTATATATTAACACTAGTGTTTATAATCTAAATTCAATGATAATACAGGAGTCTCTTACCCTTAGGAACCTTCCACGAGAATTTTCTTTGAGGTCCAAATAATAGCGCCTATTATCTTTAACCATAACTTCACTCTTTAATTTTCCATCCTCTGGTAAATTATCAGGATTTGGTGGACCTAAAGAGCCAGTAAATGAAGAAGAAAAAACAAAGATATTCATTAACGAAAACAACGTAATAAGTATCTATATAAGCATTTCACATTTTATGAGCAAATCTTTTTTCTAATACCACTGAAAAAAATAAATAAATAGGTAGTTATTAATTAAAAGGAAGTAGGTCAAATATTTAAAACTGACTTTGTGTAACAAAGATCATGACTGATTTCAATATAAATATTGAACATAAAGGTATTTAGAAGTACAAAGGCAGTAGTATGTTTATTTTTGATTATACTAACACACATGGAAAAGAAATAATTATTTTGAATTTTTGAAAACTTTTTTTAAAATTTTTAACAGTAATATTTCTTTTACTTAAAAAATAATCATTTTATACTTTGTTGGTAACATAAATACTGTTTTATACAACATTATTACAAATATATTTCAAATACACTAAAAATAGTTTAGTATTAATTTAAAAGAAGTTTTTTTTTTTTAGTTAACAAAATGTGATGGAAATCTAACAAATTAGACACTTAACATTAAAACAAACTTGATTACTTTTTTTAAATTACCTTTTGTTAAATTCTATACATATTCTTGAACTCCATGCAACAACTCTAACAATATTGTCTCTGACATAAACATTCAAAATGCTTTAAGTATTTTTAGCAATTAGCACATTCTGTTATGGATAAATATCTAAATTTTGCTAGGAATAGAAATTTACCTAAAGAGGCATAAAGTTCACTAAACGAAGTAAGATGGTCTCTGAATTCTGCAGCAGTAGACATAGCTAGAAGTAGTCTACTCTTCCTTCCAGCTGCCCCAACCTATAAATATACGAGACATAAGTGAAGTTTTGAAGAATTGAAAAAGATGTATTTATGGTTTTAAAGTGTCATTTTAAACCCATACATTAAAACATTTATCATTTGTAATAAGGCACTTTTAAAGATTCCAATAAATATTGGTATTCATGTTTGTTTTGTTCATAGTAATACAAATTGCTTTGCTATCATAGCAAACAAATAATTTTGCATACATAATACAACACTCACTATCGTGGAAATTTTTTTCACTTTCACTAAAAAAGAAAAAATCTTGTTTCTTCAAAGGAAATTTGCCTTTTTTGAATTCCAGACAGAAAAGAAAAAGAAAAGATTTTTACGCTTTTCCCTACAAATACAAACGAGATCTAAAATTACACTCACATGAGTTAAGATCACACAGTGTTTCATATTTTCATGTTTTTTTTTTCTTTCAAAAATCAAATATTGTGTTTTACATTCACGCAACTTAAAAGCCACTATCATGATTCTTGTTCAAGTGACTTAAAAATTATGCATTGGAATTCGTATTCACACGATTTTAAAATGAAACATTGAGATACATACTAAGGTGATTTTAAAATCAAATATTGAGATTCGTATTTATGTGATTTTAAAATTAAATGTTGCAATTAATATTATCATGATTTAAAAATCACTCATTAAGATTAATTTCCCCACATTTTATATAAAATATATCGATAATTTTATTAAAACGTTGATAACATTCTGTGGATAAATGCTTCTTACATACATTTCTTTCTTGATCAAATTTGAGGTATTTTTCAGTTATTGAGGAAGTGTTTTTTCACCTAATATTTTTGGATTTCTATACATAATTCTTCAAATTTTCTTGTTAAACGATAGATATAGCTGTATAATTGCAATGCAACGGTCAGCAAGGCTGATGACAAAGACTGTGGTTTTAGGTGCGTTGTTTTAAGTCTATTTTCATCATCATTTTTTTTTTTTGTAGGTGGATTATTTTTCAAATCTGGTTTCTCCCCCTTTTATCACATTCGAGCATTGGATTCCACCGAGTGAAGTTGTTTTATAACTAAGCTCGAAGCTACCATGTCAACTCACCGATTTAGCCGTTGAGGGAAGGTTTTCTGACCCTCTCATGAACCAGCTATCGACCATACCACTCTGAAGGAAGAGATGAGACGTAAAGTCAAACTTCTTAATACTGACATTATAGAGGAGATTGATAAACGTATCCAAAAATATCAAGATGATGCAGATGAGTACTCAATGATGCTGAAATCAGCTCCTAATCATCCCTCTCTAACTAAGAGCAGATATGAATTGATTTATACAATCGAAGCATTAGAAGCTACGAAAGTATCCTTACTATCCCAACCTGCACTGACTACTGACTTGGAGGAATCTACACCCAAGACTTGTGTTATTCACATGGATAAACCCAAAAAGCCAGTGGAACCTGCAGCTGAAACCCCGATTGCAACCCAGGTTGAAATTACTAGTGATCTAGAAACGCAAATCTCCAACCCCATCCCGGAGGTAGCTCCCAAAGAGAAAGTCTCAACTACTGAAAATCAGACCAAGAAAAAGAAAAAATGAGAGAAGCACAGTGTCAACTTCGCGACACAGAAATGCACAGAATCCAAAACAGACAGCGAACCATCTGCCCAGAAAAAAAGATCGCCTCCACACCTACAGTGGAAGACTCCCCATCCGATTCAACTGATACTGCAGCCCCGGCAATCGTAGAGACTCCAGCAGTAAACAACGAACCGATGAAAATTCTACAAACCACCAGTAGATATTTGAAAGCCCTCACCCGAGGACTTAATCCAGAAATCGAAATTCCTGATCTTGAAAAAGAACTAACAGATTTTGAGCAACAGCAAACCAGAATTGAACAGCTGAGGAAGAAGCGGGGCCAGGACCTTAAGCTCCTCCCCATCTACCTAGTCATCCTACCAGATAGTGAAAAACATCCTGATATTTTCAACATCAAGAGACTTTTAGATACTCCTGTCAGGATAGAATGATTCTGTGGCAGGCGTCACGAAATACAATGTTACCTATGCCAGAAATTCGGGCATACACAAAAGTCATGCACAGCTGAGCCTGCTGTATGAAGTGCGCCAATGCACATTTCGCGTACACTTGTACAAAACCACAGAGCGAGCCAGCTAAATGCGTAAACTGCTTAGGTGAGCACCCAGCCTGTTTTTCAGGCTGTGGTGCAAGATCCAAAAGAAAACCAAGAAGCAGACCCGCCCAGTCCATCAAAACCACAGACAAAGCAACCAGGTTCCTTTTGTTATTTAAGGAAATGCAGCAGCTTCTCAAGGATCCAGATCTTCAGAATCTACTTAGATCTCTGCTCACAGAAAAGACGTAGAGGCGGAGTTCACCCCACCAAGACATCCACAGCCCCACTGTGGAATACCTACACCCTTATAGACAATATTCCAGGTGCCCACGGGCACAATCTTCAATGAAAGAGACAATTGTCCGCTTCCCGGACAGGCACTCTGTATCCATACTCTAGTTCAAGTAGTTCCCCTTTTATTACTTAAAAAAAAAAAATTGTTGAGAGGAGAAATAGAAAAAATATTTTTAATTTCTAAATTTATATCTAATACTTTTATGTTTATCAATTTTCAGACATATAAGCCAAAAAAAATTAATTATTTTCAATAATTAGAATTAATTTTCTTAAAATAACTGAAATTTTGGAAATTAAAATAAATGACAAGAATTATTTTTCCTGGTTACAAGCTGTACAATTTAAATTTTTGACAATTTTGTCTTTGCACACATTTTTTTTATTGATCTATATCATATATATGGAAATTTTGTTGCTATATGTACAATAAAAGATTTATAATAGTTTTTAAAATAATAGTCTCTGTTTGACTGTGTTAGGACTGTAAAACAGACAAATTCGAATTTAGTGCTGTAAATAGATTAAATTTTGTTTCTTGGCAGATAGATATTTCTAATAATCAAGAATCACAACAATTTTGAATAACACTAGGGTTAATAAAGGATTTTTGTAATTTTTTTTTTAAAAAATCAATTCAAAATTTGTATTTTGGAATTTATTAAATTCAATTAATATTTTAAGTAAAACATGGAAAGAATTGCATACTTCAGCAACTTTAATGAATCTGCCTCTTCTATTTTGTTTCACATCTAAATAAAATCTCTTTGATTGAATCTGTAGCATTTTGGTGGCCAGCTCTTGTTCCCCCTGAGGCACCATCTGCCCTCCTACAAAAAAAAAAAAAAAAAAAAAAAAAAAAAAAAAAAAAAAAAANAGCGAGACTCCGTCTCAAAAAAAAAAAAAAAAGAATAGTACATTAAAAGATGACATTTAAAAAAAATATATTTAAATTTGAGGTGAACTTGTGTTTTATATAACTGTTGTAATCATATAAGTCATGAGTATATACAACAATGTTCAACTGATTTTGGTTTAAAAGAAGAAAAAATTATTCCAAAAAGTGGCGTATTATTCCTGTAAAAGGTTCAGGACATTAAATCAAATGATTGGATAAATGGTTTAACTAATTTAAACTGATATGCAACAGATAGCAGACTAGGTAAAATAGTTTAAGAAGAACTAATTAAATTACATATTTTTTAGTTTTAATGCACAACCTGCATAAGGGACATTTATATTTAACCCCTTGATACAGAATTTTTATTAAACATATTTTTCATTATTTTATATTTAACAAGGGGTCATCATATAGAAAAAAGTTTCACAGAAAAAAAAAATTTTCATACAAAAATGAAGGTCTGTTAGAATAAATTTAGAATTATGTTCGAATGTTGAGAATAATATTTTTCAATAACGAATTTCAACTTCCTGCAAAGTTTACAGAGGCCGTCTTGTTTAATTTAAAAAAAGAAAAAAATGCGAAAAAAAAACTATATATAAGACATTAAATCGTAAGAGATCGTACTATCTGACCTATCTGAGGTTTACACTGCACTATCTGACCAAGAACGTGCTATCTATTCGTATATGTGGAATTAACACAGGATTTATCGTTTCTTACGGGGATACAAAAACAAAATTTCAAGAGGCTGGGAAGAGAATCTTAGAACTTTTTGTGAAACTATCGTTTTTCCTAAAGTTGAATTTGTGAAGGTATCACTAAACTGTAGTAAATTTGCCCTGGACAGACCCCTGAAAATGCACCATTTACAAGAAAAAATATACAAAAGGGACACCGGTGTCCCATCTGCGTCAAAAGGTTAGTGGACAGTTAAACTGGCTATGTTCATCATTGAGAAAAACAACTATATATCACATGTAAAAAAATCAAAATATGTAGAGAATGCAATGTATAATATAGATTTTTCTTCCTAATTTTTTAAACATGGTTTTTCAATCTTATTTTGGGGTAAATCATTTTCACAATATAGAACTTAATTTGTAGTGCCAAGCATTTTTTTAAATTTATGCAACATTTGATCATATTGATTAAGCTTAAATTAAAGATAAATTATAATATCCATGGCCAACAAATGAAACACATTAGAAAGTCAAGATTAAATCATAGATATTATTACATCACATAGACAATATTTTAAGTAAATAATTATTCGTTTTTCTGGTTTATAATGTTAATTCTTTTCGAATAGATGAAACTAATCAAGCCATATTTCTGTTAAATACAAATTTAGTTAATTTATTTTTATCTTATTTTTAAAAATTTCAGAACTATACCTATCCATCTACAGCAGCGATGGGCCAACTATGGCCCGCGGGCCAACTATGGCCCTCCGGAAGGTTTTATCCGGCCCGCGGATAGAATTTTAACTTGCCTATCCGTATCAAATATAAACAATATACATCCATTTTCTTGTCGACATTTTTTAAAGCTATTTCTGTTCTTTCTTTCTTAACAAAGTACTGATGACCTTTTTACTTTCTCTATTTTTTTTCTACAAAACATAAATTAAAGGAAATAGTTAGCGCATACAACTTCAATTGATAAAATGTTGAAAGCAGAAATTTCTTATAGAATAGCCGTAGATTGGCTCCAACTAGCGTTTATCTTTCTTGAGGAGCAGACTTATGGAATCTAATATAGAGGAATTGTACTTCACGTGTGGCAGACTGCTCATTTTAAGCTCCAACGAGCGGACAATCTAACAATCATCTGAAGCAGTTGTTTCTAAATATGCCAAAGTTTGAGTTTTACAGATCATCACCAAAAGCTCGTTTTCAAAATTTAATATCTCAAGCCCAGAAAATCAGTGCTATGTTTGCTTAATCTTATACATGTAAACAAGTGTTTTCAAGTATCAACCTTAGAAAAAATCATTTCAGAAGTAAATTAACAGACAAGCATTTAGCCTCGCTCCTTAAAATAAGCACATCTCACTTCGAACCTCAATATAAGGAACTTTTAAAAATGAAATCGCAGTTCCTTTACTTGGCCCACCAAACATTTGTTTCTAGATTTTCGCCCTCGACCAAAAAAGTTTGCCCATCCCTGATTTACAGTATTTCACTTATAAGTCAGTGATTTTATGTAATGATGAAGAAAAATTTCAATACAGCACATAAAATATCAGCAATTAACTATTTTTAAATTTAATCTCATCCCTTTGATCCATACTTCCTTTTTTAATACTATTTTGTTAAAATGATTGCTCAAGAAAGGTGTAAGTTGCCTTAAAACTTGATTAAAAACTTCGAATGAGTTTCCATTTTTTAACATTTAAGATATAAAAGATCAATAATGAATAATTTTCAAATTGAATGTTTTAAATATGTATTGGTTGCCTTACAGCTTGATGGAAAAAAAACTTTAATGATTTATCGATTTTTCTACCGGAATTAACATTGATCTATTTTTAAATTTAATCGATTTCTCTTATTGAAATTTTACTAATTTGTTTAATTGGATCTTTTAAATATGCATGAAGTGTCTTAAAATATGGTTGAAAAAAATATTGGTAAGTCAGTGAGAGTAAAAAGGGATAAAGTGGGAGGAGTTGAGAGCCAAGAAAAAGCTCAAGAACGCACGTAGCAACCCTTCGTCCACAGAAAGAACACCTTTCGTCATACCGAGGCGGGCATTGACCCCTCCAGACAGCGCATTAACTATACGAGCAGCCGTCGCCCTACATTTCCGCGAGAGCGAAAAGGGATGAAGGCCAAGTGGTTGGCAAAGAACTCTCCTAAAAGGAGGATATTTTCGATTCCGGAATCATCCCACAACCAATTTCTGCGAAGATTATAACACTCATAGAGACATTACATAAGTGTGCGAGAATTATTATCTAAGAATAACAGGATAAACATCGATTCTAAAAATATACATCCAAGAACAAATCGGAAATCTTGTTGCAGTATTGTATTGACTGCAGATAAACCGTTCGTCTGGGGGTGAAGGTATTTTCAGAATGGAACCAGTCGCGGAGCAGCTGCGGATTTTTGATTTTGTCGAAAGATTTAAATGAATGGTCATTAGTAAGGCCCGGATTTTGATGACATTTGCATTTTTTGTCTTTTAGAGCATTTTTTTTTAGATTAAGAGGGCATTTATCTTAAAATTTTGGGGCATATTTTGCATTTTTTTTTAAAAGTTTTTTGTTAATTTTTTCCAATTTTTATTATTTTTTTAATCTATTTTCATTATTACACTGGTTTCCAAACAATGAAAAAAATCTATAGGATATTAACAGGAGAAGCAAAATATTTTCAAATTGAAGAAGAATTGTCCGTCTTTTTCAAGTACGCACCTATAACATCAGTAGACGTTGAAAAAAGCTTCTGCAGGAATAAAAATTTACTTTCAGACAAGAGACGCTCGTTTACATTTCAAATTACCAAAAAACATTTAATAATCCAATGTAATTCTGATATTTAGTAATATTATGAGATGGAAGTTGTTATATCCATTAAAGTTTCTATACAAAATAAAAATATTTTGGTGTCAATATATTTTCCTTTTTTTTGTTGCTATTTTAGGATATACTATAACATATTTTTCAAACTTTAATGAACGTAGAACAAGTATTGCATTGCTTTATATTTTTTAAATGACTCATAATAATTTTAAAGAGCAAAACATTTTTTTAATTCAATATTTTTGCTTTATTTAAGGCATTTTTTGAGCAAAATTTGCATTTTTAAGGGCATTTTTTGCACTTTATAAGGGCATTAGTTGAGATTTTTTAGGTCATCAAAATCCGGGCTCTAGTCATTAGGAATCAAAAGGGAAAAAGTTAACCATAAAAGGGAATAGTAGAAGGGATTTTTTTAATATCAAAAATAAAACTGGATATTATAGGGAAATATAACACTAACTTAAAATTTAATTTCTTTTAATAATTAATTTTTTTTCAGTAAAGAGAAACGGATTTTTTTTTCTCATCAAAATATGTTCAACGTAACTTATATTAATTAAAGTGTCATTTAATAAATAAATAACTTAAAAAAAACCCACCTGACATCAATTATTTTTTTTTACCAATTAAACGTGATTTCTTTTTTTTAAAAACAAAATTTCATTAAATTAATCTTAGATTGATCGAAGTGCTACTTATTCAAAAATAAAACACAATACTTTAAAATCAAGCACTTATTTATTATTAAATTTTATTTCTTTAAATAATTAAATGCATTGAATCATGTCCATTAGCATCCATGAATGTCTACATTTTAAACGAAGCAATTTATCATTGTTAAAAGCCTGGTGCTAAAAAAACCAACAGTAACGAAAAAAACGGCAAGTTAATGAATTTTTTTTTTACAGCATTGATAAAAAAAAAGATAACAGTTTTTAACTTTTTCAGAAGTTAGGTTGATTATGAAAATATTTTCCAAGATAGATAACAGGTTAAAAAACGTTTCTTTCCAAAAAAATTAATAAACAAAGCACATCATTATAAGAAAAAGTAATTTCTTTAAATTAAAAGGAACAAATCAAATTAAAAAGGAATAAAATTAATAGTTTTATAAAAAAAAAAGGTATTTTTAAGAACATTTTAGCGAAATAAAACGAAACCATGGGATTTAATTTTTAAAATATAACCCATGCCTAAACTTCAGTTCATGAAATCTCTCAACTCGAGTTTCAATCAAATACTAAATCACATCATTAAAAAGTAAAGAGAATTTTTTTTTTTTTAATCGAGCAATTAGTTGCAGTATTTTAACAGGAATATAAGAGAAAATAACATTAAGACTCAGACTATGTTTTTAAAAAGAATGTATTTGCCAGACATCTTAAAAGTCTATCAAT